AAATATTGGATAAGCTATGAGGACAGAATAATTAATTTAAATTCTTTTGAATCAATAATTGAAGAAAACTTATTTTAAATACGGAGTGAGACAACAGGGGATGAGACTCAGGAATTATGGCTAAGGCTGAAGGCATGCATCAAAAAAAAGTGATCGACCCTTGGCTATGCCTTTATCATCTGCCCAATAGAAGTCCCTACTTCTAGTTGAGTGCGCTTTTTTAGCCGCACTTTGAATGTCCCGATATTCTGAAGGGCACCTTTTTTACAGTTTTAAAAATATATATTTTTAAAATTAAAATATATTTTTGAGATATAATATTTAATATATAAATGAAATATTATTTTTTGAATAAATATTTATAATACATGTCTCTAAAATTATATTTTTTATATATTATTTTTGAAATAAGGATTTGATTAAAAAATCAAAAGATCAGAGATTAATATGAAGAAAAGAAAAAAATAATAAACTAATTTAAGGACTAAAATTATGAAATTAGAATATGAAAGACTAAAGTAAAAAAGGGCTAAAAATCTAGAGACTAAACTAAAAATTAATTATCCCCTTTGTCATCTTTGTCTTCAGCCTTCATGGTCAATCTTGTGGTCTTCCTCATCACCATGCAGCCTTCCTCTATCACCAGTCTCATCTATCATAGCTTGAACAAGGCAAGGTCTACATTGTTGTCGTTAAAGGCCAAGGTCTTGATGAAGAAGAAGAGGCCTTGATCCTTAGCAAGTCTATTCATAGGTTTGGTCTGGAACGGACTTATAAAAGAATGGACCGAATCAAAGCAGCACGAACTGAGAACTACTGGCATAGCAACTTGTTGAGCCTAAACTATTGACCTAAAATATTTAAGTCTAAATTATTTAGTAGTAGTCTCTATGTCACAGCCTAATCCAGCATGTGATTGGCATTAAGGCTAACACGCCAGCCCTAGTGAGCCTCAGACACACACAGTTGATATGAAAGCCACCCAACTAGTATTTCATATTCAACTTTAGTCAAAACAGTTAAATACAAATTTATTACAGAAACAAATCAAATCTTGTCTAAGTAGTACGTGGAGCTACTAGAATACAAAGAAATACAAAATGCCCGTGCCTCACTGTCGGCACTGAAAACTAGTACCCACTCACCAAAGTGCCTCAACGCCTGATCGGAGCTATAATCTAGAAAGAGAGAAAAAGGGATGATTATAAACCTAGTGAATATGCTATTCTACTATGCGGGACATGTAAGGGACACAGTACACAGAATATGCCTCGATTAATAACACAATTTCGAACATAGCACAGGTCAAAGTACAAAACATATCACAGATCTCGTCTCACGACGCTATGGCACGTTGGAGGTACCAATATCAAAGAACTATATATCACAGATCTCATCTCATACAGGGATCCTTTATCAGAATCACAAAAGGTATGTAGTGCTGGAACATCACTGTGTTCGTCAGAGTCAGAAATCAGAGAAGTCTCAACATGTAGGTTCAAAAATCATAAATAAATAAATATTTATATATATATATATGACAGAGGCATTTCATGCAATACTGAACATTTCACAAAGTTCAACACATATACCACAATACATGTCCCAAGATAATCTTTTGAAATTAGAAATTAGATTTTTATCAGATAAAGGAACAACAAGATTTTAAAACACACACACAAATAATAGTAATATTACTCACATTATTCGTCAAAATTGGAATCCAAAACCCAGAATGGCAGCTCATTGGTCGAGACGCGTTTTCTTAGGTGTATCTACATTCACCAAAAGATAGTCAAAAACTGAAATCGAAACTCACCCCAAAAGACTCTATCCCGACATTGGTCCTAGATCTCCCTTCTTCAGCACCTAACACGCATCCCGAGCCACCGAAATATCCTTACTCAACCCTCGGTCTTCATTAAACTAAAATATGATCTTGTCCTTAGCAACCCCCCTCAACCCGAAGATGAATTGGCCTCTGAAATTCATAAATTGGCATAAATCAGCCCCAAAACCCCATAATTGGATCAAACCAACCACGAACCAATTAAAACCAACCTAACCTATACTAGAACTCCACTAAACGGGTTGAACCAGGCCTAATTTCCATGAACTGGGATTAAATCCATGTAAATCGAGTTGAACCGACTGCAAATTACATGGAACCAAGCTGAACCAATCAAAATGCCGAGAAACCCCACTGAAATAATCATTTTATCCATGAAACTAGGCTGAACCGGCCATGTGTCTCATGTACTGGCGTTGAACTGGCACTAAATTCAATGAATTTGGGAACCGGCCCTAAATCCTATAGATTTAGATTGAACCGGCCTTGCTGGTCATAGAACCGAAATTAATTCACCCCGTTGACCAAGACTTTGGCCTAAACCAACCCCTTATAGCACTGAACTGACCATTACATCACCAAAACCGACTAGTTCAACTATTATTCTACTAAATTCCTAGTGAACTGATGCTTCCCAAGACCCCTAACCGACTCAACCTACTTTGCTTCACCCCCAAATTCCAAAACCGGCCTCAAGGATGCAAGAATCACATCGAACCGGCCACACAAACCACTAAACTATCCTTTGAACCCTAAACTGGTCGGTTCTCCTCCCAAACACCCAAAATCCTGTTGAACTAGCACCTTTTGAACCTTAACCCCAGGTTAACCCAATTGTGCCTCGTGTGCTAGTTCAAGATCTGGTCCAATGGTTCCCAACTAGACCGGTTAGACCCTTAAATCGATCGGTTCACCCCAATTAGGCTGGACTAACCGGGCCAGCCTAAGACAGACCCAACTATTAGCCGAGTCTATCTTCCTTACCCAAAAACCTGGGTGACAGACCCAGTCTGCAAATATGAAACTCGACTCACCCGAACCCCAAATCTCAAGAATAGTCGCACAATTGGAGTATGCTAGTGCTATTGGAAGTATAATGTATGCAACATATTGTATTAGACCTGATATAGCACATACCATTTGTAAACTTTCATGGTTTACCAGTAAACCAAGTGTTGATCACTGGAAAGCTATTACAAGAGTACTTGGTTATTTAAAGTGAACTAAAAATTTTGGTTTATGTTATAATGGCTTTCCTAGTACTCTAAAAGACTTCTCTAACACTAGTTGGATAACAACTGACTCTGATAAAAAATTCACAACAGATGGATATTCACTTTAGGTGGTGGTGCTATTGGTTGGGCATCAAAAAAGCAGACTTGTATTACTCACTCCACAATGGAGTATGAATTTTTAGCATTAGCAGCTACTAGAAAAAAGGTGGAATGGTTGAGACATATGTTATTAGACAATGTGTTGTGACCACAACCAATGCCAACCATTCCCATATACTGTGATAGTGAGGCAACAATGAGTGTAACCCGCAATAAAGTATGTAATGGAAAATCTAGACACATTAGTCTGCGACTTGCTTATATAAAAGAGTTGATAACCAATGGGGTCATAACAATAATATATGTTAAGTCTTCCAAGAATTTGGCTGCCCCACTAACAAAAGCATTCAAGAGAAGCTATAAAATAAACATCTAGTGAAATGGAGCTGAAACCCTAATTTAAGCAGTAGTCATGGAAACCCAACCTTGAATTAGGAAAACTAATAATAAAGGTTCAATAGGTAAAAACAAGTTACTAGTGCTGTTTTAAGTACTAATATCAAATATATAGTCTCATTTTGGGATGCTTAGTACGTACTGTTACTTTGAGAAGTTGAACATCTATTCTTAATAAAAGTGTTAATTGTTTGGAGTAATAGGGACAAATGACACTTTCACCTATATGAATATTGAAGTGGTACCACTTCAAGCAAGAATTTTAGGTTTACTCTTGTAAATATTCATAAAAAAAATTAGCGCATGGCCTTTAAGCGCTAGACTTAGATTGATATATTAAACAAGTGGAATAATATCACACGTGTGGTACTTTCGATTTAGATGCAATAAAGTTATGGTTCAATTTATTATAATATCAATAACTTACTCTAAACCTTAAAATATCTAGACTATTGGAAAGTTCAATCTAAGCAATACTTTCTATTATGTGTAATATTATGAGTGATATTACAAACTAGTGGGGGATTATTGAATAGTTTGTGATATGAGAATAGAATCCCACATTATAAAATTAGAAGAAGCCAAGTGGCTTTATTAATAGAGTCCATCTCTTTCCAAATATATTAGTTTATTAAATAGTTATTGCACGTAGTTCATATAGCTCATATGTGTATATTTATAATACATTAAATGACTTAGACTTGAGGCTTAGGTTGGGCTTGGCTTGGCTTAAATTAAAAATGGTTAATAATTCCCTTTATTTATTTTATTTTCTGAATTAATACAAAAAATGATTTAATTATTTTTAAATAATTTAACCATTTGTTTTGCACCCAATTGTTGAAAACAACTATTGGAAGTGACTTTTCAAATTTATAAGTATACCAATCCGTACAAGGCTTGTTATATCCCAAAAGATCTTTGTCTTCTTCTTCTTCCTGAGATTAGGCAAATAATTTTTGGAGACAGTATTCTTAGGTCTCAAGCCTTCTATTTATATTTTTTTAACGCTTGGTACATATTGTAATTCATTTTTTACAGCTTAAATTAGGTTTAAAGCATTTATTGAAGCCAGTCAAAGTAATGCTTTTCGTTTCATACTCAATGAAGGTTTCTTCCAAAGCCAGGCTTCATTGGCCAGTAATAGCTATTGAAGTGTTTGGCTTATTAATAAGCTGACTTTTCTTCCATTTTGAATCATTTTTCAAATTATAAAGAATTAGCTTAATCGTGGTTAAGTTCTACTGTTGTGTAAAACTATGTTTTTCTAATCTTAGCTTAATGCCTTGAGGAATCAGGTTCTCAACGTGAAACATGATATTCTGAAACTGAACCAAATAATCGGGTTCGTTTGGGTTAGTTGGTTTCTTCACTTGGTTGCGTACCCCTGGCTATAAAAGGCCACTCACGACCAGTACAAGATGCCCAAGATCTTCTTCTCTCTATCTCTCCTGGCTACAATGGTAGACGCTAACAATGCAAGTGTGGGGAACCCTGTGTGGGCAATAGGTCCCCAGTACTGTGTTCCTTACAACGTTGAACTCGTGATTGATAGAAAGCCCATGCATAGAATTAAATTCATGGTGACGGATGTACAAGGCAACTTGCTGTTCAAAGTGAAAAGGCACCTCCTCAGACTCCATGATCAGGGGGTTCTGATAGACTCTGTCGGAAACCACGTCGTCACTCTCCGACGCAAGGTTTGCCATTTTCGTAATTAACTTGATTTTTTTTATTGTTTTTTCTTGCTTAAATTTATACCATATATGTTTTTTTTCATAACATATTTGATTAAAAATAAAAATAAAAATTTGTTTGGGCAGATAATGACAGCACACCACAGATGGGAAGTGCACAGAGGAGATAGCACTTCAAACCCCATCTTGAGTGTGAAAACATCTGCTGCTATCCAGCTCCAGACCAAACTGCAAGTGTTCAAGGCCAATAAGGCCGAGGAAATATGTGATTTCAGGGTCGAGGGAAGTTGGTCAGAGAGCTCTTATGTCATCTATGCTGGAGAATCTTCCACCATTATTGCCCAAGTATGTTCTTAGTTTTTTTTCTTCTTTTGTTCCCTCTGTGATCTTGCACAACATTAGTAAATAGCATAATTACCATTTTACATTGCGACCAGATCTATAAACACATAATTTGAAAGTAAATAGGAAAGATTATGCACTGCCTTCGGGTATTGCCCTTTTTTTATTATTATTATCTAAAAAGAAGTAAGAAGTTTGCAACTTTTAAGTTTTTTTAAATTATAAATTTTCGATCTTAAATTGAAAACAATTCAAAAAGTTTCACTGGAACTCTGTTCTTGTTTGCTGCCGGCCAGTCAGAAAGCGACGAATTAGCGGGGTGTTTGAGAGAGCTTCTTAGAAGCTCTGTTGACCAGGACGAGGTAAAATAAGTGATTGTGAGGTTGTGCATATTTTTTTTTTAATTTAAAATTTTACTTTTTAAAATTGATAAAATCTAAAGAAAATCCTTCCAGTTTAAAGTTTTACTTTTTAAAATTGATAAAATTTAAATAAAAAGCTAATATAAAAAAACTAAGGCCTACTTTTGGTTTTGATAACAGTCTTGTAAATAAATAAAAATTATTTTACAGGTAATTTGACTATTTTATTTTCATATTTTTCCAGTAATTTTAAAATTACTCTTGCTTTTATCTGCTCCTCCTTTGCTGTCTCCATTGTTTTCTTCTACCAACGTCGGATAGATGTAGGTGGGATATTAGCTATGTGACCGAGATCGATAGTCATCGGCAATTGCTGTTGTGTGCGGCACCACTAAACACTGCAAGCAACAGTGATAGCACCGTTATATGGGACAAGAAAATACACTGCATGCAGCGGGGATAGCGCCACTACATGGGGCGAAACCAAAATAAAAAAAAATAGAAACACAGCACGCAGCAGCAATATAAAATACCGCACACTGCTGTATGATTCACAAAAGTTACCTCTCAAAAATCACTTTTATCGATTTTAAGAACATTTTTACACATTTTGTTAATACACCTTACTTTTAATTAAAATTAACTTTTATTTTTAATTTTTCAAAAGAGTTTGTAAACACTCCCTCATTTGTGTATACTTCATACTAGATATTCACCTACCAGACAATCTTATTAAGTACCTTACACAAATATTAATTTTTTTTTTGTATATATATCACAATTTTACATGTACATTAAACAATTGGTTAGATTGTCGCACGGAACCAACATCAAATACATCTGTTAACCAATAAACTGTTATATATTGATGCTACATCCAGGGGGTTTGTCTTTGTTTTTGAAATTTGTCACAAGATTTTTTGTCCTCTGGTTTGGCTAATCAGGAGGGACTCTGTACCCTCGTCTTATACATATGCACATTGATTGCACATTTGCTTTTAATATTAGTCTGTATATATGGGTATTTCTTAAAAAATAAAAATACAAAAATCTCGAAACGTTAAAGCTATAGCTCATGGAGAAAAATAATTGAACACTTAATATCTGGATCACCCTTCATTTAGTATAAGATTCAGATTAATGAGCAACTTAGGTTTCTATTATTTAATTATCCACCCCCTCCCAACAAACTGCAGCAGAAAGTTCTCGTTTAGAAATCAATTTCAGAAGTCAACGAATCAAATATATCAAGTAGCACGTACAACTTAATATCAAAGTTAGGCCTTGTTGGATTACATACAAAAGATTTTATCTTTTTTAGATTTTTAATTTTAATTTTTTACTGTTTGTTTCAGTATGAAAAAAAAAACTGAAAACTGAAAAAAATAAAAAATAACTTTTGAAGTATTTGATTTTACTCGTTTTTAGGCACTTTTAGTTTTGCTTTTTATTTTTATTAATATTAAAATATGATACGTCATAAATAGAAATAAATTGTCCAAAAAAGATTTTTGTTCTTTATTGTTGTGATAAACAAATAAAAAACAACCACTCTTTCTTAAAGTAAACTTAACTTCAAAAAATTCCAATATTATTTTTTACTTATGGAAAGAGGTCAAAAACTAAAAAGACAACCAGACTAAACATATGCTTAGTTGCGCATTATATTGTCGTACCTCTAGAAAACTAAGAAGGAATAAAAGAAAAGAAAAAGAAACAGTTGGTAATTAATTAGGATTGGTTTCTCCTTTGTACATGTGTATATGCATAGATTCACGTGTACGTGATTGACAGTACATGTTCATGTATATACATATATACAGATGCACAAGAAGCGCAGTGTTGAAAGTGTTCTCCTGGGGAAGGACAGGCTCATGGTGACGGTGCATCCAAACGTTGATTACGCGCTCGTGGTTTCGCTTTTCGTGATTCTAGACGAAATCATCAATTAAGTAGGAATAAAAAGGTTGCAAGTAGCTTTTTCGACGAGTAGTTTGTTTCATAAACAGCTCCTTCAAGCAGCTTCTAAGAACTAGCTAGCTTCCTGTATGTAATTATATGCATGCATACTTGTATCTGGTGAATTCTGGCTCTTTGTCCTGGGACACTGATTGGCATTGGATGCAGAGTTTAATTTCTGGAATAGATGGGCATGTTTCATCATGAATTTTATTGACAATTTTTTTGGAATTTTTACAATAATTTTACATTGGGTGTGTGCAAAATTTTCATAACATTAAGATTCAAAAGAGAATTAATTTAAATCTCCTTTAAATCTTTATCTTTCAAATCTCTTGTTGAAAAAGTTGAACCCCTTGTTAGATTTCTGCAAAGATCGGGCTTCTGTTGGAACAGAATTACTTCAATGTCCATGCCATGGATTGCCTTCTTGATTGATCACTAATCTTTAGTCACACCTCGCTTCTATGTCGATTAATTACTATTTTTGTAATTTTTTATACCCAACATGAAGTAGATTTTTGATAATCGAGTCTTTGACATTAACGGATCTTTTTATCTGGGGGTCTCACTACGATCTCTTATACGGCTCCTTCTTCATTGTCTACTTTTCCGTTTCTTCTTCAACATGCACTGCTGTATCATTTTTGTTCATTCTGCCCTTTCTTCTTGTCGTGTCGTTGGGCTAGTCGCCACTGCAATTCTCTCTAGAAGTTAATAGGAGGAGTGGAGAATTCAAGAGAGCTCAAGCCTCACAGATCTTGTATAACTAATATATGCATAAAATTTATTATACTTGTATATTACTACATTGTGATCATAAAGTCATGTCCATTCGTTTTAAAAGTTTTGAATAAACCAGTTTACCTCAAATAATTTTTGCAGAGCGACTTAGAAAAACGAATCACTTCTTGTTTCAAAAAGCGTTGCAAAGAGTCCTGGGGGAAGTAGAACAACTACTTCTTTGCCGTTCTTTGTCTCAGAGCGCCCATTGTTGCCACATGCAGTTTTGCCACCAGTACTTACCGTCCAGCCCACCCAGGTGCTCCGATAGAGAGTCGCTTTCCAGACCAATTTTTGAATGATGTGCATGGTGAAGAAGCTCAATTTAATCGAGTATGCAAATCAAGTCAATTAATAAAATCAAATCAAATTAAATTTTAAATTTTAGTTTAATTTTTTTAAATTTAATTTAACTTAGTTTAATGTAGAAAAATAATCTAAAATTATAGTTTAGTTTGGTTTAAAACCAAACAAACCATTTTAAACCAAAAAATAAAATTGTAAAAATTCTTTATAAAAAATATTAATATGTACACACGTATATATATTTATATAAATATGTATTTATATATCTATATATACATATATATACTTATATGTGTATGTACATAAATACATACATATATATATATAAATTTTATATATTCACGTAAATATAAATATATGTACATGTACATATATTTATATTGTATATAAATACATGTATACACACACACACACACACATATATATACACATGCACGCATACAAGAATATATGTATGAGTGTGTACACACACATGTATATATATATACACATAAATACGTAAATGTGTATATTTATATATTTATGTACGTATGTATATACCTATATGTGTGTGTGTGTGTCTGAATGTTTGTATGTACACACACACATGTATATATACATATATAAATACAAAAATGTATGTATTTACATATTTATACATGTATATACATGCCTATATGTATGTGTACATATACATGCATACATATATATTTTAATATTTATATGAATATATATATACATGAATATATACATATATATGTTATGTATTTGTGTGTATATATATGTGTGTGTATATACAAATACATATACATGCATATACACGTATATTTAATAATAAAAAATTAAATAAATAATTTATTTAAATATTTTTAATTAATAAAAAATTAAACTTAAAACCAAATCAAATCAAACCGAAATTTTAGATTTGGTTTGGTTTGGTTTAAAATTAAATTGGTTTGGTTTTAAAAATATTAAAATCAAAAAATTCAAAAACTAAACTAAAATATCAAAAACCAAACCAAAATTATACTTCACACACCCCTAATTAACACAATTATAATTGTTTATAAGATAAATTATAAATCATTGAAATCAACCTATTCCAATTTTAGTTTGCTATATTTTATTAACATTGAGTTGATTGATTAATATTTATTCCTAATTACGAGTCTAAAATTTTTTATTCTGCTCTCGTGAAAGTAAAGAAGAATATGTCTTCTTGGTTTAGATATATGAATAGAAAATGCAAAAGTTCAATGTCTTGTTCAAATCAGTTTAATATCATACTTTGATATATCTTTAATAATACCAGATCATGAGTTTGACCACATGAGCAATATTAAAAATATAGAAGAAAGCAGCAAATTTGAAACACTAATTGCATATTAAAATTTGTAGATTTATCAAACACATATAGTACAGATGGTAGAAACCGTATATTGTGTGGGATTTAAGTAGTATGTTCCCGAGAGAAGAACAATAATTTAAAGAAATGTGTTGTATAAAACAATATTTTATACTTTTATATAATATATGATAGGCATCTCATATATATATATATATATATATATATAAAGTTAATAATTGTTGTTGTGTTTGTTAATTCTAATAATTATCACGTATACT